CCCGGATCTTCACGGATGAGCTGTAATGAGGTGAAACTTGGATTAAGCTTGCATTTAAGATTACTGCAAGATTACAGCAACATGCATGCACTTGTAATCCCAGTGTGGACGAACGCTGGTTTAAATATTTCTGGCCCACTCAGATACCATACTCAGACACAGTTTGACATGGTTGCCCCTCTCAGACACAGTTTGACATGGTTGCCACTCTCAGACACAGTTTGACATGGTTGCCCCTCTCAGACACAGTTTGACATGGTTGCCCCTCTCAGACACAGTTTGACATAGGTGCCCCTCTCGGACACAGTTTAACATGGTTGCCACTCTCAGACACAGTTTGACATGGTTGCCACTCTCAGACACAGTTTGACATGGTTGCCCTTCTCAGACACAGTTTGACATAGGTGCCCCTCTCGGACACAGTTTAACATGGTTGCCACTCTCAGACACAGTTTGACATGGTTGCCACTCTCAGACACAGTTTGACATGGTTGCCCTTCTCAGACACAGTTTAACATGGTTGCCCCTCTCAGACACAGTTTGACATGGTTGCCCCTCTCAGAGCCTTATGGTTGCCCCTCTCGGACACAGTTTAACATGGAGACTTCACTCAGGCACATTAGATGATGAGCAGTCCTTTTATTAACCTCCTGCAGCGGAGTGGAAGGCAGGGCAACAACAAGTGCCAACACGTGGTCCTGTGCACAGAGCGCAGGTCACGAATCAGTTGAAGTTAAGCAACAGCGAGCTCGGACAGTCCTTGGATGGGTCACCGTGTTTGACAGCTTGACTCCTGAATGTTTCTAGGACGTCAGTACTGCCCCACAACGAAGCACATGTTATACATGTAGTCAAACCTTAGGCAAGTGAGTTTGTTCAAAATTGCCTCTGTTTCACCCAGCAGAAAATGGGTACCCGGTTGGATAAAGTCATGTGACTATAACCTTCTAGCGCCTAACAGGCAGCTTGGGTTATCCGGGGTAATAATAATCAGGGTGTTAGCGCTTAGAGCATGCTTTGTTGCATGGAGATTAGCGCATTATAAGACTTCTCATTATTATTATTATTATTATTAACTATTACTGGCAGTGAGGTCTTTTCATATGACGTCGCCAGGGATCAACGATGGGAAGTGTTCTCCAGGATAGGTGTTCCATCCTCCAAACCAAGGACATGGACCAGTTCAAGACAAGCGCCAGGTTAATAAAGTTCCTCTGAACATCCATGACCGACACTTAAATTTGTAGAATAATCTCTAACTCAATAAAAGTTTACAGCACGTTACCAGAGAAGCGTTCATAAACAGACGTACATGTATCTTGTTTCCAGCCAATGGAGAAGCAGCCATACATCACTTTCACCTGACAGTTGTTGGCAAGGAAAAGTCCATCGTACCCCAAATGGGATGAAAATATCTTAAAACTGAAATATTACCCCGTGTTTCAAATTACAATGACTGCCAATGAGTCAACCATTTTACTCATTTTCAACAGAAAATGTGGAAAGTTTCCAGTGAGGGGTCATTTTGATATTTTAACCATGTCGACTAGTCATAAGGAAACTAGTTCCTGGTTCCTAGCAGCCCCTGTCATTAAAAGAAGCAACTTATTTGCAAACTTGCTGAAATATTAAATAAAATTATAAGTCAGACTGTAAAATACCTACATAATTACAGTTAATTCATTAACTATTAAAATTAAAATTATAACTAGCATGTAACTTTAAAATTAAACCATGATACTCATGCAACTGATGATATTCATTATGCTACATAATGGTTGCATCTGATAACAAGGCCACATAATTGGGAGAATAAGTTATTATGTTGCTTTGAACAAAAACAGAGCAATTTGACAGCATGGGACACAAGGCATGTCCTTCACAAATTGTACCCATGTGGGGAATCGAAGCCAGGTCTCAGAAATACAATGTGGATGTTACATAAATCTAAATCAATCCCTGGTTATAGTGCATCCTCATCAACAAATACTCCAAATTTGAGTCCAATCAGACGACGTAACATGCCATGAACCCGCCGCATTTATCACTGTAGGTGTCAAGCATGTGTTAAGGTGTCGCTAACACCTTAAATAAACCTGTAACACTGGACCAGTAATGAGCCGTGGCTAATTTCCGGCTGAATTGCTGGGCACGCTGGCACTGGTGTAATGTTTAAACATGATCACTGGAATTCAAACAAGTTTGTTTTCAGAGTGAACACCTGTTTGTTGAGTCATTAATCTCCACTGATCTGTAAATGTGACATGAATTTCAGCGATCCCAAGGGGGTGAACAGAGTTGCCTAACTTGTCACAATCGGTGTTTTGCACGCTATTAAGTCTCCAGGCCATGACAACTCTGTTTTGAAAGACACCATTTTTTTCTCTACGTAACATCTTATTTCAGTTTGATGGTGACTTTAAATCAGGTAAATTTGACCAAATTTGATTACCGTTATGATTTAAAAGGGGGGAAGTAAACCATTTTGTTCTGGGGGGGTAGAGGGGGGCATGAATTTTTTACACATGTACTAAGGGACGGTTCATAATTGATGGCTAGGGGGGTGATGATGATTTTTATGGAGAAGCATGTACAATGTGAATGACCCCCCTAAAATTTATGTACAAAATAAGTGACCCAGCCTGCATGTCATGTCCAAAATCAGTGACCCCCCTTCCCTTCCCATAACTTCTAAGTATAATTCTAAACATAATTTTATGTACAAAATTGCTGACCCCCCTCTAGTACATGTGTACAAAATTGCTGACCACACCCTAGCTCCCCAGAACAAAATGGGTGACCCCAGCTTAACATCATCATCACACACACACCCACACCGCACACCATGCCATAAATTATGAACAGTCCCTAATGGGGGTCTTCAAGTTTGTACACGAAAATATATAGAAAACTATGCTTACAAATTATGGGGAGGGGGGCGGGGGTCATTGATTTGGACATGACATGGGGTTACTTACTTTCTACATAAATTTCTGAAGGGGGGCATTCATGTTGTACATGCTTCTCCACAAAAATCATCATCACACCCCCTTGTCATAAATTATGAACAGTCCCTAATTAACGTCAGTGGAACACACAGGTGTAAAGCCATCACATGACAAGATATCAAATGCATCTTAGTTTGTTGTTTAATGCCGACCTCATCAATATTGCAGTAATTTGAAGGCAGCCTGATAATGATCCAATCTGGACTAGAATATCCTGTGATTGACATTATGAACATGAAGATATACAATTGGGATACGATGAGATGTCTCAAATTGGTCAGAAAGCCTGACCAACCAATCCAATTGCCCCCCTCTTCCATGATAAGCATTGGTAGCTGAAGTCTGGTTCAAACCAGGATATTCACCAGGGTGATATTTTTTAAATATTTATGGGCAATAAATATTCCAGTGATCCTGATGATGGCTTGATTTAGCCATTAAAACGTGCACCAGTGCAGGTAACAGCAACTTGATCCTGAAAATGCAACCTACATTTCATGTGTACTTGCACCCAGTCAATGTCAAATTTTAACAATGTTTTGTCCAACTTACTTGACTTGAATTTACACAGCAGCGATCTTTGACACAGTCTCTGCCTCCATTACTGAAGATTAATATTTACCCAACTATAATGTCATCTCTAATCCTAGAGTTCTATATGTGGGGTTTGTCATGGTATCCTTGAGTGAGTGACTGAGTGAATGAATGAAGGAGTGTGTGAAGGAGTAAGTGAAGGAATGAGTGAGTGAGTGAGTGAATGAAGGAGTAAGTGAAGGAATGAGTGAGTGAGGGAGGCTGACACCACTTAGAACAGTATTCCAGTTATGTCAGTTATGTGATTGTCGGCCTAATGTGGTTGGAGTGATGCAGTTCTCAGACAGATACTGAGTGTCTTATCTTGCTTTTAGCAATATTCCAAGAGCATAGCGTAGCCGATGCAGTAATATTGTTTCATGGTGATCATGTTATACCATTACTTTGTTTATGGTATATGTAGCGCATATCATCCCTTCCCAGCATGTCTAATCACATGGCCAACAAAGGCCTCACAAAACAATCCTGATAATTATACTCGTGCATTGACATTGTATAACAAAAGGGTGTCATTGATTTGTCAGCTGAGGACCAGGCTGAGAACCAGAACATCAAAAAGTATCACAATATACATGATAACATAATACCATGTTGACTGTATACAGACAAAACATTCCAGTCAAGACCCAAAATTCATCAATTTTATACCATATAAACTACACAGATCCTCTAATCTTACTAAATGTAAACATGTCTGTGGCAGTGACGTCCTAAATATCAATATCCATAAATTTTCATCAACGTAGTATAAACAGTTTATCGCCTGCAATGACAACTCCATATATATCTGCCTTACACACACTCTGATCTGACTAAGAAAGCTTTCCTCCTCTGTTAGATGGTTACAGTATATATTTCCTGTTGTCATAAATCAAAATTAATTTTATTAATTTTTTTATACAAATATGTCAAGAAAGGTAATTTGTCATTAAGGAGTTGCACGTCTAATAGCTTCACATAGGAACAAACGATAAATGACACTTTTAACATGAATTGAAATCAAAGGAGATAGATGTATCTCTGAATGCAGCCATTGAGACGTGCTAACATTGACCTGCATGCGATCAGTCTAGCTAGCGTCGTCTGTCAATAATATCCGTTGTCGCCCGATAGCCTGAAATTGTCTAAAGGCAAATAAAGAAAAGGACATATCTTACCAGATTCAAAACACAGTACTGGAACAAAAACATATTGATCACATTAGATATCAAACTGTGAGTCTATCGTGAGAAACATATCCAACTGTGACAGACAACGAACCACTTTGCCGTACCCCAGGAAACTTTCCTTGCCAACATTTCTCAGTCGCACCTGTTGAACGAACTCCACACGCGAGCCGCACGTGCTTGTAGAGCGTCCGAGGGGCTAATTTGGACCATGATATTCAAATACACTTACCAGTTCGAACACAGAGCCAAGGGTCCAGTGTAACCCCGCTTCGATATCGCCGAAAACAAACAGGTGAGCGACTGTCAACACTCTGAAAGGTAAACTCCCAGCGACGCCATGCTAGACTGATTCGGTCACGTGACCACGCTAAAGGTGGGCGGAAGTAGTTAATATCGTAAATCATGATGGACAGGCGGCCTGCTGAGATCAAAAGCGCCGCCTGTTGATTGGGAGGTACTGATTGAGACATTTGCCAGTTATGGCGTGCTATGATGCGTTCAGAGATGGAAATGTTTTGGGGCAATGAGGCCGATATTTGTTTACATTGCCCTGAAAGGTATTGACACCGGGAAACAAACGGCAACGATTTCCTGATAGTATCTTGCTAACAACAAGACTGTCTCTAGCTGTGTGGGGGCCTGTAGCTAGGTGTCAAGTGTGCGATATGTTTTCGCGTGATAAGATTATACATTCTAATCACAACCAATCAGTGTTTCGCTCGATGATACAGTTTCAATTTTTGTGATTTTCAACACGACTGGTAGACCTAGGAGAAAGTGTGTTACACATGTTAAAGAGCTGGTTAATAAGCCGGTCTAGGTTAATCTGATATTTCGATAACCACATCCCTCAGATGTTGGTAAGGAAGCAGGCTTCTTTAATTATGATGCTAAAGGTTATCGTATCAGCTGTCACATCGTATGATAAAGCGTCTTCATCTTCTTAGAAGTGTAGAGAAGTGTTTTAAAAGATGTTGGGGGCGAGTTTTTTACAAAAGGTACAGGCTTTATAGCTTAATAAGTATATCATCATCAGCGTTTTAATTTTAAACAAATTTAGTGTAACTTGATGAAACGTAATATTTTTTTGTATCTGTAAGTGAATATAACTGAAGTGCAAAGAAATTATGCCTCTCGGCTGATTTTAAATGTTTGATTTTTCAGCTGAAATGGGGTTTTTAAAATGGTTTATTACATGGTTATTTATTTAATTTAAAATTCAAATTAAAAAACAACATCGCAAAATATATAACCGCTTACACGATCGTTATCTTAGTCCTCTCATCTTTGACAGTCAGGCACAAGTTTAAAATATTTGACACATGGTCAAATTCATTTCTTAACCAAGTCTTCACTAAACATATATTTCATGCAAACTTTCCCAACCAAAGCTTTTTTAGGATGCTTGTTTGTACACCCTCACAGATATGTATGATGGTGTTTTACCCATACTCAAATATAACTACGGTTGTTTCAAAGTTCAGTTCTATAAACGACAAACTCGGTAAAGTTTCTTTTTCCCCCTAGTTTATATTATATACATGTCGGGCTATGTTTTGTTTGATACTCATTATGAAAACTGCATGATAAATTTGGTGAAGATGAGACGTGGATATGAAATGTACCGTTTGTTGTGAAGCCGTATTTGATTCGCAGTTAGAAATAAACTTATATCTCGTTTTTACTTTGAATTTCTGAACTTGCATCGGAGGGTCATTGAGTCTAAAATATTCATAGAAAACAAAATCATTAAATGTATAAATGAATACAAATCTGAATGTGCGCTTTCAATTTCGCCGGGATATCTCTGATTTATGGCCTGTGAGCTTGATATGAGCTGTGTGGCTGACTGTCTTGTGTTCCATTGTATTTCCTTCGCTAATATCTTAAATCGAACATGGAAATTCAGACCCAGAGAAACGCCCTTACATCGAAGTTACGTTCTAGATAATTGAAATCACAGCTGCAAGGCAACCCGAAATGTACTACATTTTTAAATTATATATTCAAGAATGTCTTTGAAGCTATTATTTCTTTCCTTTATGTCTTCGTTTATAGGCGCAAAAATAGCATTATGTTTAAAATCTTTACTTTTTCGTATCTGTTGCCGATACAGTCGACGTATAGAATATGAATTTATTTTGCTCATAGAGAGGCCGTGTGATACCATTTATATACTATGGGCAGACATTTCGCTTTCTTGGAGTTATTTGGATAGTCTCTACTTTAGTACTGAAATCGTCACTGGGTATTGATTGCAAACATTTAGATTTGTCCAGAAAACATTAAATCGAATATTCGGGTTTTGCGATTGTCTGTTGGTAATACCGTGGAAAGAAGTCTGTCCAAAATCACTGTGTTGGAAAGCACCCGATTTGCCCGTGCACCGTTCAGGTTCATAAATAGCCTGGTTATTGTACAGCTGCATATGTATTGTATAATTCTTTATACACTGGTGTGAGAAAGTGAAGAGGGCTGATTTCCCCCCGTAAACTGTATAGAAGGCACTAGGGTCTCGAGAATTGTTTTGTTAGATGCATTTGGTCATTGGGTGTTTGTTTCTATCCAAGGGAGGTAAGTGACGAAGGCGCGAATGGAATCACCACCTGGCAACGTTCAAAGGTCCGTGGCGACAGCGGTGCGAAACAACAAAAGCACGTGGACAAGGAATCGTCTCAGTTGCCATAACAACAATAGACGCCTTGTCTGAGGTGCCGTGGCGAGGGTATTCGTTGATTCAAACCATCTGTGTAGATACTTTAGAAAATTGGCGCTAATTTAAAACTTCCTTTCTGAGTCGCAAAGTGAAAGTTAGTTCTCTTTGATGCGTGTATGAAATGGTTAAGACATTGAAGCAGTATGGCGAGGCTGGCTAGTTTGATACAAAGATAGTTTGATGCAGGCGTTAGTTATTAAGTCTGGGATAATTAGTAGGTACTTGTAAACATTGTAGGCCCATACCGATACTTCGTTGAAGGCTATGAAGTACAACATAAAGACGTTTATAACATGTTTGTGTCTGCGAGTTTAACGGAAACCGTGTATACCATGCATGCTAGTGATATGATTTTTGTTTCATTGTTCAAATGTCTCAATAGCCAAGCTCCAAAGTATCTGTCTGACCTGATCAACCCAACCGAAATCTCCGATCTAAAAATCTTAATACTTAGCAGTAGGCCCTACTGGAACTGGCGCTATATAAATCTTTCATGATGATGATGATGATGATGATGATGATAAACGTAATTGCAGGAGCAGAATCTGCAACTTGATCCGTGCGTGAGCTCAGATCTCTAGTCCCCTCTGTGGTGTAATGGGTGGAGTGTCTGTCGGAGAGAGGAAGGTTGGACGGTCGATCCTGACCGTATCATACCAAAAGACTTTAAACGATGGTACTTAAGTTTCCCAGGCCTGCGTTCCGACTAGAATGAAGATAAGTCGGCGAGGAATCAGTGTCTGAGCAGGGTACCCACGTCGTCACGTCATCGATGTGGCCGGCACTGTATAGCCGGTATCTGTCCCGTCTCCCACAACAAGCTTACGCATACACACACACGCACGCACGATATGCGTCGCTATTTAAGTGCAATAATCTCGAACGTGACGTAGCCCCCTTTCACTACACTTTATCTGGATCTCAAAAGCCACCCAGACTGACTTTATTACCCCAGCCATGTTTAACCTCCAGCCTAGTCTGTCTCACAGTCCCTGAACCACATTATTTTCCCTACTGCCAAGCCCTCCCTGCAATGTAGTCTGTCTCACAGTCCCTGAACCACATTATTTTCCCTACTGCCAAGCCCTCCCTGCAATGTAGTCTGTCTCACAGTCCCTGAACCACATTATTTTCCCTACTGCCAAGCCCTCCCTGCAATGTAGTCTGTCTCACAGTCCCTGAACCACATTATTTTCCCTACTGCCAAGCCCTATCTGCAGTGGTGCTTAAAGCCCTAAATAAAGCAAGTCTAGATTTCCCGAGGGTTCTGAATCCCTGGTCTCGCTGGGTCTTCTTTTCAATTTAAATGGGCTTGTCTGTTACTATCAAAATTATATATATTCAGAGACTAAGCATTAGTCTATCTCCAGCCATATGTGCAGCTGCAATGAACACGGCGCTATACTAGCCTCTAGCCCGCGCCAAGTTATATAATAGCCAGGCACCTATTGAGCTTTGATTTAAAAAGCTGGTTAGGTATTTATATTTTTGATGGGACAAACGACACGGGAAATATACAGCGTTTAGTCCGATGTATGGTCTCTCTTGTTGGAGGGTGTGTTTTGTGTTTAGTCCGATGTGTGGTCTCTCTTGCTGGAAGGTGTGTTTTGTGTTTAGTCCGATGTATGGTCTCTCTTACTGGAAGGTGTGTTTTGTGTTTAGTCCGATGTATGGTCTCTCTTGCTGGAGGGTGTGTTTTGTGTTTAGTCCGATGTATGGTCTCTCTTGCTGGAGGGTGTGTTTTGTGTTTAGTCCGATGTATGGTCTCTCTTGCTGGAGGGTGTGTTTTGTGTTTAGTCCGATGTATGGTCTCTCTTGCTGGAGGGTGTGTTTTGTGTTTAGTCCGATGTATGGTCTCTCTTGCTGGAAGGTGTGTTTTGTGTGTAGTCCGATGTATGGTCTCTCTTGCTGGAAAGTGTGTTTTGTGTTTAGTCCGATGTATGGCCTCTCTTGCTGGAAGGTGCGTTTTGTGTTTAGTCCGATGTGTGGTCTCTCTTGCTGGAAGGTGTGTTTTGTGTTTAGTCCGATGTCTGGTCTCTCTTGCTGGAAGGTGTGTTTTGTGTTTAGTCCGATGTATGGTCTCTCTTGCTGGAAGGTGCGTTTTGTGTTTAGTCCGACGTATGGTCTCCCTTGATGGAAGGTGTGTTTTGTGTTTAGTCCGATGTATGGTCTCTCTTGCTGGAAGGTGCGTTTTGTGTTTAGTCCGACGTATGGTCTCTCTTGCTGGAAGGTGTGTTTTGTGTTTAGTCCGATGTATGGTCTCTCTTGTTGGAAGGTGTGTTTTGTGTTTAGTCCGATGTATGGTCTCTCTTGCTGGAAGGTGTGTTTTGTGTTTAGTCCGATGTGTGGTCTCTCTTGCTGGAAGGTGTGTTTTGTGTTTAGTCCGATGTGTGGTCTCTCTTGCTGGAAGGTGTGTTTTGTGTTTAGTCCGATGTGTTTAGTCCGAGTCTCTCTTGCTGGAAGGTGTGTTTTGTGTTTAGTCCGACGTGTGGTCTCTCTTGCTGGAAGGTGTGTTTTGTGTTTAGTCCGATGTATGGTCTCTCTTGCTGGAAGGTGTGTTTTGTGTTTAGTCCGATGTATGGTCTCTTGCTGGAAGGTGTGTTTTGTGTTTAGTCCGATGTATGGTCTCTCTTG